GCAAGATCCTGTCTCAAAACAAAAAATTAAAAGGGCTGTGGATGTAGCTCAGTAGTAAAACACCTCTGAGTTCTATCCCCAGTGCTGGGGCTGGGGGCTGGGTTTTGAGGAAAAGTATGTTGGTATACTTTTCTCATTTTAAAATTAATTTGTTGGACTTTTCTTGATTTATAGGAGCTCTTCATGTAATTGGGAAATGAGCCCTTTTCTAGGTTTTCATTTGTCTTTTTTTTTTTACTTAGAATTGTCTGTTTTTTATTTATTTATTTATTTATTTATTTATTTATTTATTTATTTATTTATTTATGCTTCCAAGCAGATTTTATTTTTATGTAGTTGAACCTTTTCCTTTTTGCTCCTGTATCTTTTGCCAAACTTACAAAGCTCTTATTCACTCCAGGTTTATGAAAAGCATTCTCCTAAGGTTAATTTTAAGTACTGTTATAATTTCATACTTGCATTGAAAGAAAACTCCAACTAGGAGAATATATTTGCAACTATACAAATATAATTGATATCTCCTGTTCTGAATATATAAAAATACCTAGAAATCAATACTAACAAGAAAAACAACATCATTAGAAAAATGGACAAAAGATATGAACATACATTTCAGAGAAGAAGAAATTGAAATGGTCACCAATTGTAAAAAGGCGCTTGACTTCTCTAGTAAGTTAGGGAAAAACATAGTCAAATAATGGTGCTCTGTACTCATCAGATTGGCAACAATTTTAAAGTTTAGAACCAAGAGTGCTGAGGATGATGAGAACAAACTGCAGGTGGGAATGTAAATTGTTACAACCACTTTGGAAAGCAGTTTGTCAATTTCTGTTAAAGTTCAAATGCTCTTACCCATCCCCCCTGCCCCCCCTTCCATATGATCACCCCCTCTGGAACTCATGCCCTTGTGTAATCCTTTCCTGTTGAATGTAGGTTAGACCTAGCAACCCACTTTCAATAAGAAGAGTCTGAGGCAGGAGGATCACAAGTTCAAGTCCAACCTTAGCAATTTAGTGAGGCCCTAAGCAACTCAGCCAGACCCTGTCGTAGTAAACAAACAAATAACTAAAAAGGGCTAGGATGTACCTCAGCAGTAAAATTCCCCTGTGTTAAATCTCCAGTACAAAAAAAAGGAGAGAGAGAGAGAGAATATGGCAAAAGTGTTGAGATATCACTTCCAAGAGCTGTCTCAACAAGAAACATTAAAATGTTATTCAGAGAAGAAAATGATATAGGTTAGAAACTTGGATCTGCATAAAGAAGAACATATGAGAAAGAATAAATGATGGTATAAATAAAATGTTTTATTTTTGTATTTTTAAAGGATATAACAGTCCACTCAAAAAATATTAGTAACAATTTTGGATGCCTATAGCTTGTGGACACATGAAATGAATGACAGAAATAACATAAGGGATGGGATGGAGGAATTGGGAATACTGGTATAAGGTACCTGCCTGCACCATTCATGAAGTGTTATAGTGTTATTGAAAAGTAGACTTGGATTAGTTGTAAATATATATTGCAGGCTCTAGCATGATCCCGAAACAAAGTTAAAAAAAAAGAAGTATAATTGATATGCTCGGAGAGGAGAGAAAATGGAATCATAAAATGCTTAATTAAAATCAGTGAAGACAGAGTGGAAAAGAAAAGAAAAAACAAAGATTTTAAAAATACCAAGAACAATGGATAGAAATAGCTAACCAGGGGTTATAAGTGCCCCTGGATTCAATCCTGGGTCCAAAAAAAAAAAGTATACACCTGACAACACAGTGTTAGAGTGTTAGAGACACCAAAAAAAAAAAGTATATGAGGCAAAAACCAATAAGTGTACAAGGAGAAATAGATGAGTCCACTATGATAGTTGAAGATTTCAACACTCCTCTATCAATAATTGACAGATCTAGCAGCCAAAAAATCAATAAGAATATAGTTGAACTGAATAGCACCATCAATCAACCAGATCTAATTGACATTTATAGACTACTTCATTTAACAACAGCAGAATACACATTCTTTCCAAGCTCATGTGGAACATTCACTAGGATAGACCACATCCTGGGCCATAAAACATGCCTTAACAGGTTTCAAAGAATAGACACCATACAAAATAAGCTCTCAGACCACAGTGAAATGAAATTAGCAATCAATAACATAAAGATAGATGGAAAGCCCTCAAGTATTTGGAGATTAAACAATATAATTCTAAATAACATAGGGGTTCAAGAAGTTTCACCATAAATTGACAGTGAAAACATAATTTACCAAAATTTGTGAATTGCAGCAAAAGCAGTGCTTTGAGGGAAATTTGTAGCATTGAAGGCAAATGTTAGAAAATATGAAAGATCAAGACGATTGTAAGCTTCCAGACAAGGGAGTGAACAAAATTACTAATATCAGAAACGAATGAGTGGCTATCACTACTGATCTCATGGACATTATAAGGACAATAAGGCTGGGGGTATAGCTCAGTTGGTAGAGTGCTTGCCTGCCATGTACAAGGCCTTGGGTTCGATTCCCAGCACCACACACACACACACACACACACACACACACACACACACACACACGGATAATAAATACTATGAACAACTGCACAGCTTCAAAATTGTTAGATGAAAGGGACAAATTCTGTGGATTGCTTTCAATAAATAGGAAACAGCAAAAGTGATGGGATGTCACTTATACCACAAAGTTATAAAAAGGCCGTGCATTCTATCTGGCGTACACTCTTTCTTTCTGTGTGTCTCTTGTTTCTCTCACCAGCTACCATGCCCATGAAGAAGATTCAAGAAGCTGAGACTACATGATAGCATGCGTACCACTGCAACCTGTCATCATATAGTTTATGTAATTTAAAACACCCAAAACAATACTGTATTTTGGTTATAGATACAAATATATGTAATGACAGATAAACAAACATGGATTAGAAGAAAACATCAATTTCCAAATGTGCTTATTTGAGGGAAAGAAGTTAAGATGAATAAGATAAATGAGGGCTTCAGCTGTAATTTTGTGTGTGTGTGTGTGTGTGTGTGTGTGTGTGTGTGCTATATCACTAGCTCTTTTTTGATTAAGTTTTTATTTTGAAGAAGGTCTCCTAAATTGTTGAGGCTGGCCTTCAACTCGCAATCCTCCTGCCTCAACCTCCCAAGCAGCTGGAGTTACAGGCCTGTGCCTCCACATTTGGTCCTTTTTTATATTTAAACTGTATTTCCTTCATATATTTTGAAAGGGCATTTTTATGGCACGTAATTGTTCTTATTATTATCTATTCCTTGGTGAATGAAAGACCCTCTTTTGTTCTCTTTGATACTCTCTACTTTGGCCTTGATTTTTACTTTAGTCTTGTTACAAGTCTCTCTCCTTCCCTCCTTTTGTTCCACTTTCCTTCACCTTCCCTTCCCATGCTCCCCCACTCTTTTTTTCTGCTAATATTGATTGGACATGTATTTTCATTACTGTTTCCACTTTAGATGAAACTCATAAATAGCACATAATTGGACTTCTAAAAACAAAATGCTCAGCTAGGGGCAATGGTGCATGCCTGTAATCCCAGCAACTCAGGAGGCTGGGAAGTTCAAGGCTAACCTCAGCAATTTGTCAAGACCCTATGCAATTTAGCCAGACAAGGTGGCTCAGTGGTTAAGTGCCCTGGGTTCAATACCTGATAAAATAAACAAATAAATAAAATGATCAAAATGAGAATTTGTGGCTTCTTTTTTTTTCTTGTACTGGTGATTGAACCCAGGGGTGTTTAACCACTTAGCTACATCCCCAGCCTTTTAAAAAATATTTTATTTAGAGACAGGGTACCTCTTGAGTTGCTTAGGACCTCACTAAATTGCTGAAGCTGGCTTTAAACTTGTGATCCTCCTGCCTCAGCCTCCAGAGCCCCTGGGATTTCAAGCATGCGGCCCAGTGAAAATTTGCATCTTAACAGATGTTAACCCATAATACATACTGATCTATTTTTCTTTTTACATCCTGCTTAGTCCACCCCTCATTTCTTGCCCTTTATTGACTGAGTTTTCTTTGTTCCAAATACTATTCCTTTAATAGTTTGAAAATTATACATCTTATTTCTTCTCTATTGTTACCCTGGAACTTTTTTGTTCTATTACACGTTGTATTTCCAATAAGAACAAAAATTTCTTTCAGCTGGTGTCGTGGCGCTCACCTGTAATCCCAGCAGTTCCAGAAGCCTAGGCAGGATGGCAAGTTCCAGGTTAGCTTGGGCAATTTAGTGGTGCCCTAAGCAACTTAGTGAGACTGTCTCAAAAGTAAACGGGCTGGGGATGTACTTCAGTGGCTAAGTGTCCCTGGGTTCAACTCCCAGTACCAAAAAACTAAAACAAAAAACCCGAACAACCTTGATACTGTTGTGAGTATACTAACTTTTTATACTGGCTGTGAAGGTTAAGAGTGCAATTTGAAAATTTCAGATTTCAGTAAAATTTCATCAAAAGCATAACTGCAATAATTTTTAACAGCGGCACAACTGCTAGACTACGAACCCTTGTTGCGCTTCATGATTGATCATTCCTTTTGGATGGAGAAGCTTGATTTTGTGACCAACAACAACAAATTCCACTGCAAACAGGTTCAACTTGTTTCAACCAACAGGTAAAAAAAAAAAAAAAAAAAAAAAGAAGGAGCAGCTTCCTGCAACCCTAAGTATAGATTCACAATTTACTATCCTAGACAAACCGTATCATCTAGGATATGATATAGTGAGATAATTACTTTCATATTGGAATTCATCAGAAAGAATTCGCATATTTGATTTTATTAGAGTAAAAAAAACAGAACCCAAGGGAATGCAGCTTAATGTTTCACTTTTCTTATCGTTGACCATTTGTCACATTTTTCGCCGTCCTTTTCTGTATCCTTGACGATTTCATCATTTGAAACGAAATAATGCTTTCGGGCCCACCCTGATTTGTGGAAAGCAGCTGCCGCCCCCGCCACATCGAGGGGGCGGGTTCCAGCCGACGTCACAATCACTTCCGCCGCAGTCACCGCCCTCCCGGGTGCTGTCTGGTGGAGGAGGAGCCCGAGACCCGGGAGCAGCGGCTCTGGCGGTGGTGGCGGTCGGAGGTCTGAGAGCTCTGCCCCTTTGAAAAACGTGCTGCTGTCCCGACAGGGTGAGTGAGAGGCTGATCGTGTTGACGATTCTTCTAGGCGATGGTGGTGGGGCGAGTGGCAGGGCAGGGGCGCGAGAATCTGGGGGAATCCGGTGAACCTCTTTTCGGGTTCGCCCCTCGGGAAGGGGTGGGGCGGACGGGGGACCTGACTGCAGAGTGAGGCCCTTGTCTTCCATGGGCCTGTTCGGGGGCTGCACCCTCCGCCACCGATCTCCTTTGGCCCACCGTGGCCCCTATTCGAATGGCTTTCCTGACTATTTGAGAGGGGAACGGTCTTCGCGGGCCCTGGCCACTTCTCCCCGCCTCTCCTTTCTCCCTCCTCAGCCCCCTTTGCGGGGCACCCTGTGGCCTCCCCCAGCCATTTTGCTGTTGTTTTGCTGAATGGTAAATGGTTAAGATACTTAGGTAAAAATATTGTTCCCGGGGAAAGAATTGTCCAAAAAAAAAAAAATGTAGTTTCAGGGAAAAACTATGTTCACGCATGCCCTTTTCTTTCTTTGCCCCCTTCCCTGCCACACCGATTTGGGTCTGCCCTTTGGGCTATAACGTTTTCTTGTCTCTTATTATGACATTGCACCCCCCTTCCCTGTGTCGCGCAAGCGTATGCGAGCACACATGCACGCACACGCGGAAACCTGCAGTTGCAGCCCCCTCCCTGCCCCGCCAGCCTCAAGGTTCCAGGGGAGTCCCCCTCCCCCGCGCATGCGCAGGCTCATACACACGCCCTCTCACACACCCTCACACCCTCCTGTGCCTTCCCCCTACACACACGCACACATGGCCTCAGACCCTTGCTTGCCAGTCCCCTCCCCTCAGCTGCCTACCACATACACACCTCTAGATCCCGCCCCTCCTCCAGCTGCCTGCTCTGGCATGCATGTGCACACACACACACACACACACACACACACACACACACACACCTTTACCTTTATACACATCCTCTGTCATACCTTCCTCCCTGCCTGTCACATCCATACATAAGGGCATCTTTTATTGCTGACCATTGGCGCAAATACACTCCCACTCTCTGGTTCACACACCCTTCTCAAATGCCCTGTTCTTGTGCCGTCTGTCTGCCACATACTTTGTACTGATGGTCCCCCTTTGCTGTTGCATGCACATTCACACTCAATAGAACTTCTTCTCCCGGAACAGTACTGCTCTTCCTGCTTGCCATAGTCACATGTGTAGCCATTCTTTGATTGCTAGCCTCTTTTCCATCCCTCCCTCTCTCTCACACACCCCTCTCCAGTGCTGTCTGCTCTGCCATGCATGCCCGCCACAGTTGCTCATGCTGACGTTTTTCAATTGTTGCATCCCATTTGGATGAATACACGCATGCGCACTCACACTCACACACCACACAGACTCTCATACACTCCTCTCCATTGCCACCATACCCTTCCCTGCCTGCGATATGTGCATAAATGTAGGCTTCCCCCATAATTCCACCTGCCACATACACAGCTACACATCCCTCTTTTCTTTTTCTTATTCCCCCCTCACACCACTTTCCTCTGAAGTCACCCTACCCATTACATCACATCCAGAATGGGTCCCATTTTAACAGTCAATCCTTTCCCCCTGCAAACCTAGACAAGGCTCCATTGCAGGATTGCAGGTACCCCTTCCACCTGTCCCTCTCCTAACTCACCCATGCACAGTGATCTATACTTGCCACTCCAATTCATATTTCTCCTCTATGTCTGCAGGGTTCAGAAATAGACACCCCATAAAAAAGCCCACATCAGCCTTTTCTCTTCCCACGTCAGCACAATTCCATGGTACTTCACCCACCTTCCAAGCGTCTGGTCACTCCCCCCCACCTTCTGTCACACTCTCTCCCCCTATGTCTGGCTTTCCTGTAAACCTGGTGTTGTAATCGTTTTGCCAACATTAAAAATGTGTTCCAGGTCTACACCTGACAGTCACTGGAATGCTCCTCCAGGCCTTAGAAGAAAGTGAAAGTAATTTTAAAGATCCCTTGTCCCTTCTGTTACCTGTCTGCTGACGTGAAAATAGATCTTCCTGCTCCTTCATGCTGAACTGATTTTGACTTTCCCAGCTCAAAAAGCACAAGTGCAGGGAGCAGGAACCTTTCCACCCAAGCCCCAGCTCTATTGGAAACCTTCCTAAACCAGAGCAATGGGTCAGGAATCTAGCAAGCCCGTATGGCCCAAACCAGCAGGAGGGTATCAGTCCAATACAGGCAGGAGGTATGGAAGAAGGCATGCTTATGTCAGTTTCAGGCCATCCACGAGCCAGCAGGAAAGGATTGCCAGCCAGAGAAAGACGACATCCGAAGTCCCAATGCACAGATCAGCCCCCAGTCAAACCACCAAGAGGAGCCGATCACCATTTGCCACCACTCGTCGTAGTTGGGACGACTGTGAGAGTTCGGGAACCAGCCTGAATGTTGATAATGAGGACTATTCCAGGTATCCGCCAAGAGAGTACAGGGCTTCGGGTGGCAGAAGAGGAATGGCTTATGGACATATTGACACTTTGGGGGCAGATGATAGTGAGGAGGAGGGGGCTGGGCCTGTTGAGCGACCGCCAGTGAGAGGGAAAACTGGCAAGTTTAAGGATGATAAGCTGTATGACCCAGAAAAAGGGGCAAGGTCTGTGGCGGGGGTGCCTCCCCAGTTCTCTGGTTTTAACTGTGATGTGAGAGAGGAGCTTGACAAGTTAGACCCAGCCCCTGTGGCGAGATGCTCTGCTAGCCCAGCAGAGTTCCGGAAGCCGACTAGCATGGGCTCTCAGATGTCTTCTGCTGAAGGCAAGGTGGCTACAACTGGTGACAGTTTGGAGAGGGAGAGAAGGGGGCAGAACTTGACTGCACGTCCCAGTAGGGCTCCTGTGAGTATTTGTGGTGGTGGGGGAAACCCCTCAAAGAGTGCAGAGGAACCGGTGGTGAGGCCCAAAGTCCGAAATCTGGCAAGTCCAAACTGCGTGAAACCAAAAATATTTTTTGATACTGATGATGATGATGATATGCCACACAGTACTTCCAGGTGGAGGGATGCTGTCAATGCTGATGATGGCCACTTGGATGGCCTGGCAAGGAGAGGCAGAGGCGAGAGTTCAAGTGGCTACTGTGAGCCCAAGTACTCTGAAGACAAGAGGGAGGCCAGGAATGACCAAGTGAAACCAGAGAAGGTGCCGAGGAGGCGTCGGACCATGGCGGACCCCGACTTCTGGACGTATAGTGATGATTACTACAAATACTGTGATGAAGACTCTGACAGCGACAAAGAGTGGATCGCTGCCCTGCGCCGGAAGTACCGAAATCGAGAGCAAACACTGTCCTCAAGTGGAGAAAGCTGGGAGACCCTGCCAGGAAAGGAAGACCGGGAACCTCAGCAAGCCAGAGTGAGTGGAAGTGTCACCGACACCAGCCCAAGCCTTGGGACTGGAGCCAGCGCCGTTGCCGGAGCCAGTACCACTGCCGGAGCCAGCGCCATTGCAGGTGCCAGCACCATTGCCGGAGCCAGTGCCATTGCCGGAGCCAGTGCCATTGCCGGTGCCAGCGCCATTGCTGGAGCCAGTGCCGTTGCCAGTGCGGGTGCCGGCGCCAGCGTCAGTGCAGGTGCTGTGAGCAATGGCAGTAGCTATCTTGAGGAAGCTCAAGGGCCACCGCTGCAGGAAGAGGAGCAAACATCCCTGGAAGAAGGAGAAATTCCCTGGCTCCAGTACAATGAGAATGAGAGCAGCAGTGAGGGAGACAACGACTCCGGGCAGGAGCTGATGCAGCCGGGGGTGTTCGTGCTGGATGGCAACAACAACCTCGAAGATGACTCCAGCGTCAGCGAAGACCTCGAAGTGGATTGGAGCCTCTTTGATGGATTTGCCGATGGGTTAGGAGTGGCCGAAGCCATTTCCTATGTGGATCCTCAGTTCCTCACCTACATGGCACTTGAGGAACGCCTGGCACAGGCGATGGAGACTGCCTTGGCACACCTGGAGTCTCTCGCAGTGGATGTCGAGGTGGCCAATCCACCGGCCAGCAAGGAGAGCATCGACGCTCTTCCCGAGATCCTGGTCACTGAAGATCATGGTGCAGTTGGCCAAGAGATGTGCTGTCCTATCTGCTGCAGTGAATATGTGAAGGGGGAAGTGGCGACCGAGCTTCCATGCCACCACTATTTCCACAAGCCCTGCGTGTCCATCTGGCTTCAGAAGTCAGGCACATGCCCTGTGTGCCGCTGCATGTTCCCTCCTCCACTCTAAAGACCAAGGCTTTTTTTTACTCCTGGTCTGTTTATTTTCCCCATACCTGAAACCCACAATACTGCAGGAGCCCTCTGAAAATTAATAATGAAAATGAAACCATTTGGTCAATTAGACTAAACTTGTTGATTCCTTGTGATTATTTCCAATGTGAAAACGGTTGTGTGCGGTTGCATTAAAAATCATAATTGTCCTAGCCAGGTGTGTGGGGGGGCACACACCTGTCATCCTGGCAACTTTAGAGGCTGAGGCAGGAGGATTGCAAGTTCAAGCCAGCCTGGGCAACTTGGTGAGACCCTATCTAAAAGCTGGGGGGTATAGCTCAGGGGTAGAGCACTCCTGGATTCAGTCCATAGTATCACACACACACATACACACAAATAAATCATATTGTCTTAGAGGTTAGAAAGGAAAAACTAAACTTTCTAAATGCTACTTGAGCGTGCACTAAGAGCATACATTTTCTAACCCAAAAGTCGGAACAAATGGCATTTGTTTTCTTCAGTAGAATATGTTGCTGTTAATTGTAATGTCAAGTTTATCTGTTAACTATGTCCAAAAGGCAAAATAATTTTTGTTGCATGTTCTGGGTTAACGTTCCTGTAATTGCAGTGCCGTAAAAGCTTATTAAAGTACTTTTGGTTTTACACGGTAACATGGAATTGTTTGGTTTTGTCTGAAATGGTGGTACCAGGTAACTTTCTGATTGAGCACTTGCATTTTTTGGTGTTCTCAACAATAGAAAACTTTGGTTTTCACTGGAAATGCAGACTCCAAAAAATGTCAAAAAAATATGGAGGGTAATGGTTTTTCTAAAGTAGAAATAAAGTATATAATTGTATAATAGGGGAAAGGTCGAGTAGAGAAAGAAGGAAAGAAACAATGACAAATCATGGTAAAATATGGAATAATGGTAGGAACAAATCTATACTGAGTGTAGGAATGAATGAGTTAAAATCAACTTCAAGAAGCTCTCAAGAGAGAATCATTTAAAAAAATTGAACTGTATGCCAATTGCATACCTTAACAAGGACATAGATAGGGACAGAAACACATATACCACTCAAACGCTTCAGAAAAGGCAAGAAATAGAGGAACCCTCCTACACAGAGTGAACAGGTTTTATCATTTGGCCATATTTGTTTCAGCTGTCTCTTTCTCGCTCTAATAAAAAATTTTCAGACACAGGTGAAGTTCTTCCCCCCACCACATGTACCTTTACTCTTCCATAGAGGTAAGCACCAAGCAGAAAATGGTGTGTTTACTTCTTGTCTGTGTCATTATATGTATATGTGAGTGTGTGTGTGTGTCTATGTATATGTGTATACATAGTATATCTGTATATGTGTGTCTATATAAATATAAACATACATGTCCATAACCAATTTATGATTTTCAAGTGGACATAATTGATAGAATGCATGCTGTCATTTTGCAACTTGATTTTTCCACTCAACATTGTCTTTAGATTTGGCCTTTTGATACATGTACATCTAGTTTATATATTTTAAATGCTATATACAAAATAATTCAGTTGTATGAATTACAACAATTTATGCAGTCTTTTATGGGTGAGTATTTTAGGCTCTTAGCATTTTTTTCATGGCAATTTAAAATGCTTGAAAGATGTTCCTTGGTGCACATGTGTGAATTTTTCTAGGGGTAAGTACATAGTAGTGAAAGGTCTGGGTTCCAGGGTTTTTGAACCTCTTTACGCTAACTACATAATGTCTAGTTGCTGTCCCAAGTGATAGCACTAATTGATATGCCTACTAATAGTTAAGAGTCCTTTCCCCATAACTCCAAAAAGCCTGGATCTTGTTAGCATTCAACCTCACTGGAAATTAGTGATGTGTAAATTAACACACCAGGTGAAACACGGTGTCCTTCAGAAACCAATAGTTCCTCCTGATCATACCCAGTTTGGGCTAGGAAGAGAAGAAATGAAAAGACCAGTGGTTGATGTGCATATAAACAACATCAACCTTTTTAGAGAGTAGTGTACGTTGTACCTATCAATAGGAATGTGGCTCATGTCCTTGTCCCCAATGTGGCTACTTTGGTCCTTATGAAATTAATACTATGCAGCAGTTACAAGCTGTATCAAGTACTGATACAGAAAGATTTCCAAGACCTAATGTTAAGCTTAGTGTAGAAAACATGTACAGTCTTAAGGCACAATGAAGACTTACAAAACCAAAGTATACTTGGAGAATGCATAAGAAAGGTCTGGAAGGTGACATACTGATGGTAGAGAATGCCTCTGAGAAGAAATGGAGGATCAGTGCCAAGGGGTGAGGAAGGGGACTCTTGATTTTTCACCTAGAATAATGCATTTGCTTGATTTAAAAAAAAAAAAACAGTGACACCATTTTCATGATTATTAATGAAATAGATGTGGTCTGGTAGGCAGCCTGAAGGCAAAATAAAAAATGTGACCAATTAAAAAAAAAATTCCCAATGCATGTACAGAAACAGAATTTGTGGCCCCTTTTTCTGCAGCTGGCCAAGCTGATCCTTAGGACTTCATTCCTTGCCAGACATTCTGTGTTTCCCTTGGCCTTCAGCGGTGCCTCATCTGGTCATCGAGTAGCAAAACCAGTGTCCATGGAGGGTCTTATCTGGTTGTGGTTTTCCATGAAATTTTTCTGTGCCTTTGACAGGAACCACACCAGGAGATATTTTAGGAGTACCCTGGGTCCTGATCATTTCCTCCCTCTCCCACAGGATAGCAACTGACCTTAATTTCCCTTTAGTCAGAATTAGTCAATCCAGGAAAAGGGAAATTGTTCTACCCAATGCCTGAGGGCCCCTGCTGGTGTTGGAGAAACCTGCCATAGCAGTGTCTTGGGGGAGGGAAGACACCTTTGCCAGGGAAGCCCATGAAGCCCATGAATCCTGAGCAGCTTGCACTTGAACCTGGAACCTCAGCTAAACCCATGAGACATCCATTCCTTGAAGTCTGGAGGGAGGAATTCTGGGGAAGAGGGTCCTGAAGTGTTTACTCCTATGCTGCTTTGGTGGTGATGGTGGCAACAGTGGTGACAATCCAGGACTGCAGCGACATGGGTCCCCTGCTGATGGTGCTGGAGGCCCATAGCTCCAGTGGCAGGCAGTGGCTGTGTCTGGCTGCCCAGTTTCCTTGTTCTTGCCAGTTTCTGATTGACAATTCCCCAAGCTCCTCCCTCACTTTCCAATAAAACTTTTCTGATGAAGTTAACTAGAGTTGGTTTCTGTTGTGACTAAGAGCCCCAAATGGCAGGCACACTTGTTAATGTAGTCTGTTCATGTGCCTGTTTTCCTCATCAAGTGATACATCCCAAATAGTCAAGGGTCAAGAGGTCTCTGTTGAAAAACTCGGTTGAAGATGGAATGGACTCTTCATTGGCACCTGGGGCCACGGTTCTAGAACTGCAGGCCTCAGAGGCCGCTAGACACCAAGCAGTCATTTTTGAGAGTAGGTTGTTTGGTGAATTCATTGAAGGTGCCAGCCGTTACACTTTCCACCTTGGTTTTGGCTTTGTTTTTTTGGCTGTGGAATAAATAGCACCAAATTTCAGTCACTAGTTCATAGCATAAACCACAACATCTTGCCAGGGAGCACCCTAACTTCATGACATGGGGCCCCCAGCTGGCACCACAAGTACACCATCACAAGGCCCTTCCTGTGCCTGAAGGCACTGCCCTGCACTTAGCCCTCTGTTCCAGTGAAACCCTTCCACAGATGTGCCTAGGGAACCTCTGAACTGAAATGTCCTCCCCCGCCCTACTGAACCTACTTACCTTAAAACATGCACCACTTCCAGAAAATGACATCCTGCTACCTGCTGACTCCTTCCCTCTGCGTGTCTCCTATCTTTGTAAGTCCTTGAGGTCAAGAGCTGAGTCTGAGTCATTTCTATAGCCCTGGCATGCTGTGCTCGACAAAAGTGTTCAGCAACACTTGCTGGCAGGAGGACTAGATTGTTCTTCCAAGGTAGATGCGGGTGAGTGCTCTGCTCAGCAACAACCCAGCAGGACACATGGCAGCCTGGCCCACCTAGGCTCGCGTGACCCAGTCTTTTTTTTTTTTTTTTTTTGATAAGGGGGATTACTGGGGATTGAACCCAGGGGGTACTTAACCACTGAGCCACATCCCAGCCCTTTTTTTTGTGTGTATTTTATTTAGAGACAGGGTCTCACTGCGTTGTTTAGGGCCTCCCTAAATTGCAGAGGCTGCCTTTGAACTCGGATCTTCCTGCCTCAGCCTCTTGAGTCATTGGGATTACAGGTATGTGCCACCGCCACCGGCTGTGTGACCCAGTCTTAGCCCCACTGCCATTCCTGCCTCTGGGGGCCCTGGCCCCCCTCCTCTGGAACCTTCTGCCCCTCCTCCTGTCCCCTGACTGCTTTCCCATTTTCTGCTTGTCTGACGAATCCCCTGGTGTTTTAGAGGCTGTTCTCAGGCTCAGGGCCCATGGAGACAAGGTGGTATTGTTGAAAGGCAGAGGAATACATGGCAGCCTGCGTTAGTATGCCCCTTTGGCCTGGGGTGAGCCTCAGCCATGGAGCTGATAGCTTGCTTCTCCAGCTGGCTGTAGCCTTGGACAAAGCCCAGCCCAGCCAGGTTTAGAGCCCGAGCCACCCCTTCCACCTGCCACAGTGTTCACACCTGCGGAATGGCACTTTGTGATCCCTGCATGTTTCTTGTATTTCTGTTTGCTGCTTCCAAATTTCTTGGGAAACCTTAGTGAGGCTTCACAGTCCCTTCTATTTGGACATGACTTCCCCAGACTCCTTCGACTTACCCTTGACCTTCAGTGATTTCACTGGCCCTTTCAAGCAACTTCAAAGGCAAGTGGATAGGAGGTCTGGTTCAGCCAGGTGAAGACCTGTGAAGGCAGCAGGAGGGTGTATGGTTGGCGGGGGAGTGCAGTAGGGATGTCTTTCCTTCCAGCCCTTGTCCCAGTATGCTCAAGAGCAGGCAGGGATCTGGACCTCAGCAAGCTGGCTAAAGCTAGACTACACGCAGGGCCTCTGGTCACAAGTGCCATAAGCTGCCAGCCTCCCAGAAGCACACTGCAGAACCATCCTGGGGGTACCAGGCATTCTGATGGGAGAAAGAAGAGAAACAAGACATTTTCAGAAAGACAGAGCTCTTTCTGAAGAGCTGGGGACCAGCAGACAGAATCCGCTTATGTCAGTGGCATGTGGTCCTGGGAGCTGGCCTGAAGGTAAGTAAGTAGGGACTTGGGCACCAAGCACATAGAAACCAATCTTCAGGGACCCAGGAGAACCAAGTCCAAGGTGCTGCCTGATCAAGACCAGGCTTACATTTGGCAAAGGAGCCAGAGATTGAGAGCTGACTAGTTCAACAAATATTTTTAGAGTTTCTGCCTGTGGTGTATTCAACCAGGGCCTGAAGAAATGAAGAAAGTTTAGACCTACCTTCTCTCAAGAGCTCAAAATCTGGCTGAGTGCAGTGGTGCAAGCCTGTAATCTCAGCAACCGGGGAGGCTGAGGCAGGAGGATCACGAGTTCAAAGCCAGCCTCAGCAATTTAGGGAGGCCCTAAGCAATTCAGTGAGACCCTGTCTCTAAATATAATATAAAAAAGAGGCTAGGAATGTGGCTCAGTGGTTAAGCTCCTCTGGGTTCAAGCCCCAGTATGAAAAAAAAAAAAAAAAAAAAAGAGTTCAAAATCTAGTGCAGGAGACGGACTTGTAAAGAGAGAAAATTTAATGTTATGTGGAAAGTGGAGGCGAACACAAGGAAACCAGGAGCACAGAGTCTAGCTGGTGGAGCTGGGGAAGGGGCTGGCCTTCAGAGGCATCCTTCAGAGGATGAGGTCACTCTCTCCTAAAATGTGAGCAGGCACCAGCCAAGCAAGGAAAGGGACAGAGGGAGGGTAGGATTGGTCCTTTCACTGTGGCCAGGCATGGTGGTTGGGGGTGTCAATTGGTACCATTTGTTTGAAGGGCCTGTTGGTGAAATGCATTAACATTTAAAATCCACACACACTCTGACCCAACAATCCTACTAGCAGGAATTTATCCCATATGAGCAAAAGCCCAAGTTTGCTTTTACAGGGCTATTTATTATTGCATTGTTTGTAGTTACAAAAGATGGCAAAACATGTAAATGTCTATTACAAGGGGCCTGGTTAAAGAATGGCACAGCTATCACCACACAGCCTGTACCCAACATGATGTGCATCTTCAGTTACTGCTATGCAAGAGCACCCAAAATCAAGAAATGACAAAAGCCAGGTGTAGAAAAAGAGTGGGCCCAGTTTTACTATCTGTTTCGCAAATAGAAAAAACACTTCTGCTTAACTGTACACAGACTATTTCTGGAAAAATACACAAAGGCCAGGCATGGTGGTGGAAGCCTGTAATCTCAGTGGCTCAGGAGGCTGAAGCAGGAGGATTGCAAGTTCAAGGCCAGCCTCAGTAACTTGGAGAGGCACTAAACAAATCAGTGAGACCCTGTCTCTAAATAAAATTTTAAAAAGGGCTAGGGATGTGGCTCAGTGGTTAAGCACCCCTGGGTTCAATCCCTGGTACAAAAAAAAAAAACAATACAGAAGGGACTAAGGTCAGGGATTAGAAGGAGAACGTTATGACTTTTCACTTTTATTTTTTTATTTTTTTTTTTTGCCAAGCTGGGGATGGAACCCATGGGCTTTACTACTGACATCGCTCCACCTCAGCCCATTTAATGGACTTTCTTCCCTTTTTTGATAATTTGATTTTGTTTTTATTTTGGTTTCACTGGTTTGGTTTTGGTACTGGGGATTGAGTTCAGGGGTGCACTAACACTGAGCTATATCCCCAACCCTTTGTATATTTTATTTTGAGATAGGGTCTCACTAAGTTCCTAAGGCTGGCCTTCAACTTGTGATCCTCCTGCCTCAGCTTCCCAAGTCACTGGGATTACAAGTGTGCAGCACAGCACCCCAGGTGTCTTTTTTTTGTTTTAAACCATGTACATTGTAAGACAGAGAGGTAGGAGATGGGCAGAGATCTCAGTCAAGGAGAACCAAATGAACAAACACCTAGAGGTATGAAATAGCATGGTGTGTGTGTGTGTGTGTGTGTGTGTGTGTGTGTGTGTGTGTGTGTGTGTCCCTGCATTGTGGAACAAACTTGCCCAGGTGACTTCCAGTAATGCAGTGAAGAGTCAATTGTCAGGGTACGGGCCAGAAAATAGCAGTCATGACTGTCAGTTATGTGGCCAGTTCCTCTAGAAACCTGAAATATCAGGTACAAGCAGGCCTCCTAAGAGAAAGAAGAACCCAGCTGAGCTAGCTCATGAAGATTGTGTGAGGGCTTGGCTCTGGAGGCTGAGGCAGGAGGATCACAAGTTCAAAGCCAGCCTCAGCAACTCAGTGAGACCCTGCCTCAACATAAAATATAAAAACAGCTGGGGATGTGGCTCCATGGTTAAGTACCCCTGGGTTTAATCCCTGATATACAAACAAATACAAATAAGGGCTGGAAGGTAGCCTAGCACCCTGAGCAGGACTACTAGGATGTCAGGTATGTGGAATAGGTCTCCACATTGTATATATCCACCACAAAAAGATGATCAGGAAATCTACCATCAAGTTAGTTAACAGTGATTTTTCTCTTGAGTGCTAGAGATTATAGGTAGTTTTAATTTTCTTTGTGTTCTGGGAACATGTATTAAATTGCCTTCAATAAGCAAGTGAGCAGGGCACAGTGGTACCACCTGTAATCTCAGTGACTTGGGAGGCTGAGGCAGGAGGATAGCAAGTTGGAGGCCAGCGTCAGCAACCTAGAGAGACATCATCTCAAAAAATTTTTAAAAGGGTTGGGGATATAGCTCTGTGGTAGATTTCTTGCATAGCATACCATAATATAAGGCCCTAGGTTTAATCCCCAGCACTGCAAGACAAATTTTTCTTTAAAAAAGAATGGAGAGAATCTGCTCTCTCTGCTTAAAGGGATTGTTGTTGCTTGTTATCTTTTCTCTTAGCTCCTTTCTCTGTGCAGCAGCAGTAGGAGTCTAAGGGCTCAGAAGAAATAAAGGACTACTCCCTGGGTAGGAAGAATCCCCCCATCCATTCTCCCTTCAGCAACTTAGCGAGGCTGACTCCAGATGCCCAGTGCGGGTCTGGAGTGCAGCATTCCCTTTGGAAGCAGAGTGCGAGGCAAGATGGGGGAGGAGGAGGAGGAAGCAAAATGTTTGCTAGTTTTTTCTATGCAATTGACTCTGCTGGCCGAGGCCCCTTGCTTGCTGCTGTCTGTGTGCACAGATGGCAGTGAAGGGCTTGGCTTCCTGTGGAGCATGCCCACTCTACCCAGGCCTGCTGAGGAATGTGGGCTGGTCCAGGCTGGATGGGCTCCGGGTCTCCTCTGGCCCCTCCCAGAGCCCCAGTCTGACCCCTCCTCAGGCCTAGACTGAAGGAGCTTCTGTGTCCTGGGGCCCTGCCTGATTAGACATGGCTACGGCATTCGCTCCTCCCTCACAGTCTGGGCACTGGGGAAAGAAAGGTCCAAGGCTTGCTCACAGTCCTCTAGGGCAGGAGAGTAGCTGACATTGGGGTTTCCTCTGGGTCTGTGTGAGTCGCTCTGTGTTGCCAAATGAAAGTCTCAGTTTGCCAAGTTTTCAGGCCAGTGAGGCTGGGGGCTTCTATGGCCAATGGGGCAGGAGGTCAGTGAAGGCCTAGGACATATACATGCAAATCTGATGGACCTGGAGTCCCCATTCAATGTTGATTGGAGCATGCCCATTGGCTTCAGAAGGAAGAAGTGGTAAGGTCCATGGTCACCAGAGAAGTGTCTAACTGGGGTGTTACAAAGTACCTTTGCACCTTGGTCCAAATGGGATAGTTTCTTTGTTCTTTCTCCTCTGAAGATTGTGTGAGGGCTTGGCTCTGGAGGCTGAGGCAGGAGGATTACAAGTTCAAAGCCAGCCTCAGCAACTCAGTGAGACCCTGTCTCAACATAAAATATAAAAAGGGCTGGGGGATGTGGCCACTTGTCTAATTTGTAGCTCTGGGTTCTCTGTGAAGCCCTTCACCTCTCTGAGTCTCAGCTGCCTCATCAGGAAAACAGGGATGACAATAAAGAAAAATGGAATTATGTCATTTGCAGGAAAAATGAATGAAACATGAGACTGTTATGTTAAGCAAAATCAGCCAAACTCAGCAGGTCAAGGGTTGTAGGTTTTCTCTTATAGATGGAAGCTGGAGAGGAAAAAGGAGAAGAAAATTGTGTGGGGTATGGGAATGTAATGATTGGGAGTGGGGGGGCAGTGCTGGGGAGGGATATTGGCCAAATTATATTATTATATCATATGAATATATAACTATAAACCCCATCATTCTGTACAGCTAAAATGCTCCAATAGAAATGTGGACAGTTAAGAAAAATAAAGAAAGAAAACAGGGATGACAGCATCATGGGCCAGCTGGGAAGAGGATCCGAGGGCCGAGTGCAGTGGCAGTCCATAAGAGGCACTCTATAAGGGCCATTTCCTTCCTATATTTACTAAGCACTTCCTTTTTGGAGCACTGGGGAATCCTGAAGTGACTAAATATCTGCCCTCAAGCAGGCTCATAGATTCCAGTTCCCTTGGCCACTAGCCCAGACTTGACCTTGAGCCCCATTTCTGACCAGGAAAATTCTGGCCTGTAGAATTCTCTGTCCCAAGACTCTGGAGCTGTCTCAGGCCCTGCATGGTGCTTAAGGTTCAGGCTTCCTCTGGCTGGTCTAGGCTGTATCGCCTCAGTTCAGTGTCTATTGTCCACAGTCAGGAGATGGTCCTCCCTGGGCAGCCTACCCACCTGATGAAGACTTCCCTGAGTATCATATCATGGAATTTTCACAATAGCTCTATAAGGAAGGGTCCTCTTATCACTAATCTCAAAGACACCCACTTTCAGGTTCCAGCTCTGTTATTCACTTGCTGTGTGACCTTGGGCAAGTGCCTTAACTTCTCTGTGCCTTTGTTTTCTCATCTGTGAAATAAAAGTTAAATAAAAGGCAGTTTCCTTTGCAGGGAACAGTTGAAGTGTTTAGACACATGACACGTGTGAAGCTCTCAATACTTAGGAACCAAGGCCCAGCGCAGGGACATGACCTGCTGGAAGTCACTTAGTAGGAAGCAACAGAGCTGGGGCTGCTCCAGGCTCCCTGTCAGTGACAGTTATGCTACTCTTTGCTTCCTACTTTTTGGATTTCTGGATCCTGTGCATGTCTGGATCCCTATGTCAGAGTAGTTGATCAGGACTCTTGTAGCTTTTCTTTTCTTTCTTACTATTTTTCTTTTTATTCATTTCTTTTTATTCCTACAGTAGGCATTGAACCCAGGGCCTCACTAAGCCACACCCCAACCCTCATACTGACTTCTCTATTGGACTGTTGCAAGCAGTTGCACCCATTGTCTTGGCATCTAACCCTCTACCTGCCAAGGCAGGCTTCCCTTCTACTTTCTTTTTTTTTTTTTTTTTGGTACTGGGGAGTTGAACCCAGGGGTGCTTAACCACTGAGCCACATCCCCAACCCTTATTTTGTATTTTATTTAGAGATACCTCACTAAATTGGTAAGGCTGAGTTTGAACTCAAGATCCTCCCAAGCCGCTGGGATTAGAGGTGTGCACCACTGTGCTTGGCTTGCTTTCCATATTTTAAATAATAAAACTAATTAATAATGCTAATAAACTGGGCTAACTGGCACTCTAAAATATCAATGTAAACTGGGCACAGTGGGACATAATTGTAATCCCAACTACTTGGGAGGTTTGAGGCAGGAGGATTATAAATTGGAGGTCCACCTCAGCAATTTAGTGAGGCACTTAGCAATTTAGGGGGACTCTGTTTGAAAACAGAAAATAAAAATAAAAAGGACTGCAGTGCCCTGGTTTCAATCCCCAGCACCACCTCCAAAATAAATAAATAGATAGATAGATAAATAAATAAAGGGTGGGGGGGGTTCAACGGGGTTCAACATATGCAATCAGGAAATTAGCTCAGGTGCTATCATAACCCCCATTTTTCACATGAGAAAACTAAGGCCCAGGAAGATTAAGTGACTTGCCCAAAGCTACACAGTCACTAAGTGGCAGGACCAGAATCCAAAGCCTGACAGTGGTGAGCTGGTTCAGAATCACTGATACCATCCAGTATGTTCTAGATTCCCCCATTTAGCCAGAGCCCACTGTGGTGAGCCCACCCACCCCTCACATGAACCCTCTTGCTTTTTTGGGGGGGTGGGGACACTGGAGATTGAACCCAGAGGAGATTACCACAGAGCCACATTCCCAGACCTTTTTATTTTTTACTTTGAGACAGGGTCTCGCTAAGTTGCTGAGGCTGGGTTTGTACTTGCAATCCTCCTGCCTCAGCCACCCCCACCCCAGCCTCCAGCCACTGGGATTACAGGCGAGGGCCACCATGCCAGGCTAGCTGATGCAGACTTCCTTGGGAGTGTGAACCATGTTGGATTTGCTGACAGTGGCATCCTCAGTGGCTAGCGCAGTGCCCAGCATCTAGTATGCTTAATAACTAGTTGTTGAATAAGTGAATGAATGAATGAATGAATGAATAAAACAAACTGAAATCTTCTGCTGGCCAGGGGGAGGGAGAGATGAGACAGATTTGAAAGATAACTGACCAGATTGGGAGGCCGATCCGATTGCGAGTATGAAGAAGTGTTGGATGACTCCCAGGATTTTGGCTTGGGTGACTGGCTGATGAGGTCATGTACTGAGATAGGAACCCCATAGGAGGGACACAATGCAGGGTTTTGGAGATCGGAGAGGCACTGATGAATTCAGGTTAGGATGTGTGGAGTTGGAGGTGCCTTTGAAACAGGCCAGGGGATGTCCAGGAGGCTGTGGGATACCAGAAGTTCAGAAGAGGCCCTGGGCCTCCAGCTGCCTCCTCCCACCGCCCCTCCCTCCAGTCGCACCCGGCCTGTGGCCCGCAGCCCCCAGTACTCTTCCTACTGGGAAGGAAGGGAAAGAATCTTTGATGGTGGGAGTGGGAGGGGGCAGACTGTTCTAAACCAAACAAACGCATACACAGTGCCTGCTTGTTGCCGATCATCACTGGGGCTCTGGGCACCCGTAGGCTAGCTTCCAAGGGCAGACCTTCCCCCACCACCCGCCGGCCCCTGCCGCCTGCTCCCTGCCAAGGTGAGCTCTGACAGGGCGACTTGTCATCTTTTCAACACCTCATTTTTCCCTCCTTACTCACTGCCCGGGGAGAGGTCCTTCCTGTTTGCACACCTCAGGGGCTAGGCCGCGAGGAGGAACAAAAACAGCCTTCAT